ACCTGTTAAGCTGTTGTTTTGTTGTGCTGGAAGCTATGTCTTGTTGATATCAATTGTTGTGTTCATTCCTGTTATAGTTTATCGTTAAGCTGTTGCTTTGTTGAGTTGGAAGCGATAAGATATATCTTATCGCTCTTATGTATCATATCAAATACCTTTATCTTATCGCGACTATAAATGTGGGGTGAGCTGGTGAGGGCAGTTTCAATCGACTTCAACCGGCTCTTCAACTTCTACTATCACCTCGACTCCGGTCCTCGCCAGCCAGCCCCACTCCTGCCTCGTCCAGTGTGCGGTATAAGGAGATAAAGACCTTGGTCGATCTGTGCTGGTTACACGCAGGAGCCAACGAACCTACATACCAAACTACCAAACAAACCTGGGGGCCGAACCTTGCCCTCCCTATACTGCACTTGGAAGCGGAGTGGAGCTGCACTCTAGCTTTCTCTTGTAAACAGCTCTTGTGCCGCTAATCGCGGTGGAGCTGCAGAGCTACCGTGGGGTAGCAACACTAAGTCAGTTGGACTATCCACTGTAAATCTTAGTGGTCATAGCTGAAGAGGAGGACAGCAGACGACCGCTAGCAAAACCGCGAGGTAATCCAGAATCGAGTAAATTAAGATGTTGTTCTGATTGTGATAACCCTCACCCTATACAAGACAACAATTTAGTACACCCCAAGCCATTGCTCAAGCTGCTCGCGTGGCAGCTGGACGTGAGTTCGCGGGTGGGTTGCTCCATCTATTACGACTCGATCAAATTATGGGTATGGGGGGAGTGTGTAGTTTGCCTGAAACAGGAAACTCCGGAACAGAAAACCTGAATAATGCTTCGCTTCATGCGTTCAACAGCCCTTTTTACTTTTGACCATTCAATTACAGATGAGAACGAATAACAAGGGAGTGTAGTACCTACTAATAATAATACTTTAGGGAGCGGACCGCATGCTGAAAAGGGAGCATTCATCGGTAGGCATTTCGGTGCAGGTGATGTAAACGAAATCTGTTCTTCTACTGAGTGATTCACATTGCGCTGTATTTTCCGACTACACATTGTATGCTAAGTAGTGCAGGATCCTAAGCCTTGCTCTATCTGTTACGATTCGATTCCTACAGCGCCGTATGAGCAGCCCACTATTAAAAAGGCTCCGTTAAAATTATGGAGCGCGCCTGCCCGGCGAAGCCAGGATGGATGAGCTCGTGGTTTGTATTACTATTATACTTTATTTCACAGCCTTACAAAAGTTCACCGGTTTACGGAAGATAGTTTGACACGGGTATTCATCCCTTGAGCTTAACTCAGGCAGAAACAACAATCCCAACCCTTACCTGTGGATGTTTGACAGTGGTGAGCAGATGAAAGCTCTTAAGTAACAAGTGAATATTCAGTGCACTGTAAGAAGGGGAGTACTTACTGGAGTACTTTGGATTGAAATGTGTAGGACCGAATACAGACGCACTGGGGATCTTGTTCAACGAAACGAAAGGTGATACTTGTGATGAGCTAGTGTGTAAAGAGCCTTGACTCATTTTCGAATCCAGCCTCAATCAGCTTTATCTTGAAAAGCTTTTTCGAAAACTTGAACCTGATGCATTTTCCTCCCTCTCTATGTAGGAACACAGGAGGCTCCCAACGCTTTTATCTTGTGCCTAATCCGCTGATGATTGCTTCTACTTCTTCTAAGGTTGTTTAGAAATAAAAGCAGATATTGCAGCAGTTTTTAGCATTCCTGAGAACACTACAGAACCATATAGGTTGCATGGAATAGCTACCATTATGAATACTCATACCCAGCTCTCCCAAAGAATAGTACCCATGACATCCTCAAATAACTCACATACTTTATGAAGTAAAGCTTCTATTTCTAGTCTTCTAGAGTGTTCGTAAAAGTAATGACTTACTACTTGGCGTTTGTGCATCAACTGTCGAGCAAATGCTCGGCGTTCTCATGGAAATGTTATCGGAGAGGATGGCTCGGCAGCGACATTTCGGGCATGTCTGGTCCTCCCGTTCGAGAAGGAATGTGTGAAGACACCTGATATCCCGAGCTTGTTCGAAGGACAAATGTCACTAAACTCTCCAACGACTCACCGTTCGTGAAACACGTGAGAACATCTAAGCGCTTGGAGGCTCTCGTCTTTCATACCGTACCTGAACATGGAATATTAAATACGACGAGGGGTTTGGTGGGAAGGAGATCAGCGAATTAGGGGGGAACCGATTTAACACTGCGAAAACTCGTTGCATTCGTTTGTTTACTTTCCAGTATTCCCATGCCGTACTATTGTATTAAAGAGATCCATCGGGAAGGAGATAAGTAAAATGGTGTCCTAGACTTGAATCACCTTTGTCCGCAGAAGTTACAGAAAAGTTCCATTTCTTGAGTAAGTTGGCTGGCGGCTCTTCGTGCAACTTCTTCGCTGTCCTCGTCGTTCAGCTGTGAGTATAGCTCAGCGAGACGAGAATGGCATTTCAGCATGACGTGCTAAATGTATGAGATAGAAGGCTCTCACATTCATTGTCAAAGATTCTAGCATGGATAATTATTACGAATACACGGAATACATGGCACGAAAGCATTGATCTGACGGGACAAGAGACTCATGCGGGTGAGTGATAGTGCTCTTCCCGGAAATCGAGCGCTTTCGAATTTTGCCTCAAGTCAGAACAGTTGTCAGTGAGTCAGGATACTTGTGGTTTTGAGCCATATCTCTTGCTGATCATTTTGGGTCACCACGCTGAGGATGCCGAAACGGATCGAAGGGGCATTAGAGGTACGATGAACGATGGGTTGTAAGAGTTTTCTCATAGTCATAGCTTGCCTTTCACTCCTTGGTGCACTCCACCTCTCCATCATTTCGGAAGAGGAGGTCCATTGAGGAGGCACATTGTTTAAATGACTCCGCCCACACGACCAGCGCGGAATCTTTCTTTTAGTTCCGTGTCAGAAATAAGATACGTAAGAGTGCGCCTGCGATAGTTCGGCTGCGATGTAGACGGTTTCGGAGGAACGACTTCATTTTTTGTTGAGTCGTCCCTAAACGCTTTTCGAACAGTTTTGAATTTGGCTTTCATATCCTTCAGTTAGTACCATTGAGCCCTGGTCATACAAATCGAAGAAGGATCGTTTTCGCGCTAAACAACTGTGACATTCGGGTCCGTCCGACGAGTCAAAACACCCATGGTGAGGGATTTGGCCACTTCTGAAACTTGACAAAACGTCGAAAAAGTCTGTGAAATTCAGAGATCCTGTGGGTCATAGAGATTCATGGATGAATTTACGAAAATGTGGGTTAGGAGAACCTGTGGGTCATGGAGACTCATGTATGGCAGGTTTTGGGTACCCTTCCAGTGATCACGTGAATTAAAGGGAAAAAGAGCTGAATTGAGGTGCCAAGAAATGCCAGGATGAAGCTTTGGAATGAAGCATGTTCAATTCGCGCCCAAACGCAATTTGTACCCTAGCCTCCAATGACGATCCTTGCCATGCGCGAAAATGAATCCGCAGCTGCCGTAGCTTGCCATTTTCCGCTCGTGGTGCAGGAGAATGGAGCCGAAGGGTAGTGAAGCTGAAAACCAGGTGCCGTCTCCATACTCCTCCCGCGCTATCATAAGGGTGCAGCACTTGGTCGATATCAAAACCCCACAACGTCAGAGGTAGAGAACAACTAGAAGAGATAACTCAGGCAAATAGCGCGTTCATCTATGGTTAGGCGTGCGGCTGACCCTG